CGGCATCACCATCGGCCATAATTAAATCATCGCAACAGATGTCCCACCCGCTCTCCCAGGTCGGAGTTGACGACGCGCTGCCACAAATCGCCGCCGCAGTGGTCCTGTTCGGAAGCTTCAGGCTCGGCATCGGGCCCGCCGATTGACGAAGTCGGTCGCGCGAAAATAGTTTCGCGCACATGTAGCGATCACCGCCGCCCACGAAATATTCACCATCTCCACAGCTGAATACGGGGACGCCCGAAGCGGCAAGTTGGCTGCCAGGTGGTCAACAGCTATGAGCAAGCGCTCCGCAACGCGGCACCTAACACGCGTATTAGACTTTCGACGTTTTGTTGAGCGGCACGAAAAAATGCTACTCCTCCCATCGGCCATCATGACCACACACGCACACCAAGAGCGAGCAAGACGCGCACACGCGTGGAACAGCTCTGGGCGCGTTTTCAGACGGAAAACGAAACTAATTCAAGCCAGCGTGGCGGCCGTCGCAGAGCGGTGGAGATGGGCGAAGGGGTTGTGATCAAGAGAGGAGAGCAGACTTGCGAGAGAAGAGCAAGGAGTTGTGATAAAGCACGGAGGAATTAAAGATTCCTTCCTCTGTGCGATAAAGAGAGGGGAGGATGCGGCAGGAGGGCGACCTTGAAAACCAAAACACACGGGAAGGAGGCAGGTTGGTTAGCTTGCTTGATAGGTCCGTGAAACTTGCACGTAGAAAAACTTGAAAAGAGTGCCAGCGCGCGCAAAAGTCGAAGCATGGCCGCCTCGTTCGGTGCGCGCGGCGTTGTTCGAAGAATCGGCAGCCGTGATCAAAAAATCGTTTTTGTTGCGCTGGCGGGTTTGCGTGGCCTCACGAACTTCGATATATAGCGATTCATTCCACGCAAATTCGCAGCCGTTTTCGCGCTTTAGCACGTGCGCGGAAGGCATGCTGAGCCGAGTGCGAAGTGAGCGAGAACAAGTCCTAAACACGAAACGAATCGCAAATTATCAGAGTCGGTGGAGTAGCTACGCGCGTGCACTAGACGCAGACTATCGGATACAGTCGAAGGCCGACGACGTTGGCAAAGGGTCTGGTCACTCTAGGCCGGTGACGCCAACGACAGTACCAGCGATCAAAAACAGGGTACATGGCCGACCGGTCTTCGAAAGATCGGTGGCAGTGTGAAAACACGGGCCTCGTCTGGCAATGCGGGGTGCTCAGAGTAGCGGGAAGACAAAGGACAGAGGGGTGCGTAATAAAAAGCGGTAGGGGAGAGCAGCAACTAGAGGAGTGCGGAGGCAGAATCGGCGTTTAACAATAAGAATGTATGGGCACCTCGCCGGTGCTTGATCGGTGGTCGAAATTGGTTTCCCGGGAAGTCAGCCGACCGCGGACTCCGTTCGCTGTAACCGATCAGCGGCGCTCAGAGACATTCGTTGTAAGTGCGATTTTGTGCCAGTGAACCAATTTATATTTTGACGGTCATACGGATATTGTTCGTTTCAAGCGAAAGTTCGTTTTAAATGGGGCCGTTATATGTGGGCTCGACTGTACAAATATAAAGCTGGTGCATGCTACTTGCTGTCTAAAGGAGCTATAAGTAAACTATAAAAAAAGTAATTTTAGATGCGAAGCAGCTTAGGATAGGGGCTTATGGTGTGCGCACTCACCAACACACACAAGTGCACCCCTCACACACATATGCATGCACTCACACACAGACAGATGAGCACACTTGCATACACACATCCACACGCACTCACGTACAGAAAAGTACACACACACACATTTGCACACGCACCCGCGCGAGCGCGTGCACTCGCCCACACACACAAAATCACCGGCACACAGCCTAACAAGCTTGCGTGCACACATAAACACACATTCACACACACATACATACATTCACACATGCACTCACGAAAGAGCACACACACATACACGTGCGCACCCACACAGGCAGACTAGCGTGCGCTCACTCATGCACACACATTTGTACACACTCACGCACGGGAGAACACACACACACAATCGCCTCTTCAATCCCTAGCACGAAGCCCTCACTTCTCAGCAGAGACCTACACTTTACCTTAAGAAATACCGAAGTGCAAACGCCATCTTCATTGCATCTACCCCGAATTTTCGCTCACGGCCAATGCAGATTTTCTGCTCACATACATATGCCAATCACATAATTTCTGCTTAACAAACTCTTTAATGATATCACGCTTGAAAACGACAAGCTTCACTTAAGCGAAAGAAAATACTTTGTTCATGGGGTGACCGATCCCTGGGGTCCTATAATTCGCAGGCCACTAGCATCGCCCATTATTTCCACCTTCGTATTCTCCTACATGCGGCCTGTGCTTAGATAAGAATGTCACATTCGCATCACTCTTGTACCGTGGCAACTTACAAATGCTAAGTGTCGTGCCCACAACAAAATTTCGCCGATCATCGTGCTGGTGAAAATGACTGTAGTATTACCAGTATTGCGGTTTAGTTTTCCCCAATGTGATGCTGTGAAGACAGAGCTGGACTGCATAACATAGCTATACAGAGTCGACAACGACAAATGCATTCCTTTTAAGAGAACAAGGCCGCCTAAATTGGCGCGCCGATCCAGACAGCAGTGGGGGAAACGATTACTAAAACAATGAAAAGCGCAGCAGATCGCGTAGTCAGTTTAATATATGTGTCATGGAGACGAAATTCGCAAACAGCTGCGCCACACGAAGTGGCCTCGCGCTGCTTGGCTCTGTTTCGATCATAGCATGCTACAGAGAACGACACTCACTGTATCAAGCCCGATTTAGAATAAATTTTAGCGTTACTTGGTTCCAGTGACCACGTGAATGACGTCCTATGTGCATTTCTCCAAGCATGTCCACGGCGCGTCGGCGTCATCTGCAGGGGAGTGGGAGAAGGGCGCTGCCTCGTGAAGCACTGCAGTACTTCTTCAATTACATTTTTTCACTGGGGCAACCGCTGATGCAGGCGGCCGCGATGTCACGAAGGTCGTTTCGCTTGCTGTAGTGGCTACTGTTTACTTACGCCAGCGTTTTGTTAACTTTTGCCAAGTTGGATGATAAAGGTGCGAGTTTCTAGCCTTACTTTATATAAAATTCCGATTTGTTACTCTGACATTAATTCTCTTGCCTTGGCAGTAAAACTACGAGTTCTTTTTTATTGGCTGACATATTAGAACTTTCATGGCACTTGACAACAGACTGCTATAATTCTATTGAGAGGTCAGTTTGATCTGAAATCCATAATATCTGGAATCGCGACTGTGGTTATTGGTGAAAAACTAATTTTGAGCTGCCGATTAAGAGCACTCTCGGAAACTGAAGGCCACCGCCAAATTGTCAAGTAACTCTTGAATCAACGCTGCTTGTTTTGACTATTGGCGCAATGCCAGCAAAGGTTTATGATTTTTAAAAAATGACTCCGTATCTGCATGTGACACTGCAAATGTCCTCGAAAAACGATAGTCCTGGGTCTGGAGAGAGTGACCAAAGCATTTAGTTGATGTTCTGTGCAAGAAAATCTGTGAATTGTATTCTGGAGGCGCTGCATCGGAGTGCCTCGAGCATGCAGCGGAGGCGAACGAGCGCATCGAGTCACGTCACACGTGAGACATGAGCACTATTTGGCAGTTATCTTGGAATACGAAGTACGCGGCTTGCACACTCATCTTAGAGGCGATTAGGTGTAAAAAGCAAGGCGACGGGTAGGTGCCACCACGTGTCGTCTTAGCAAAGCGTTGAAAACACTTGCCTTTTCATGCAAGCGTTGCATTATCAGCCCAGCATGATAAATGCTACGGTCCCTAGAATTACTTATGTATGCCTTTTTTAGTATAAAGGCTCACATACAGAATATTGACGTCTTGTTATGGTGCCCCAGATATGTGCAATAATCGCTTTTCGATTGAGAATCACACAAGTATGAACTTAAACTTTGAGCAATATTGGTGGGCGCTGCGTATGGGGTCTGCCGTTTGAGGTTTCATTTGGTGTCGTTTGGGGTATCGTTAAGGGTGGGCAAACACACTAGTGTACAGACAGACAGACACCAAAATTTTTGCGTCAAAGGTTCCAAGAAAGAGTATAGTCTTTAAAAAAAAAAGGTGGCTCATTTATGAAGGACAGCATTCATAAGAGGATACATGCCACAGTTTGCTCAGCTTTGGCATGCTGTAAAGCTGTGTTTTATGGCATCTCGTATGATATTGTACGATACTGGTTCTTTAAAAGCCTACGTAGGTTCACAGAAACTTACTTGAATTTCATAAGTCCTGCCAGCTCTCTTTTGTATACCACGGACTTATAAATCTTTTGTTGGTGCTTTTACCCTGGCAAAGTTGTTTTCTAACACTGCTGCGAAATTCTATTCAAATTCAAAGCAAGGCACAAAGTAGGACTAGTCGTTTCATAAATTCAGCAAATATTTTAGCTTCACAAAGGAGACAGAACAAAAACAGGAACATTGGCTTAACACAAACTGTGAACTTCAAATTGGCCTTTTTTTGTGAAAGCATGTAATTGATAGCACTTTAAGAGTAGCAGTATACAACAAAAAGTAGCATAGAAATTAGGCATCTATTTGTATTACAAAGTGCTGGAATGACCTAATGGGTCCATCTAAAAATTCCATTTTTTTCCTTGATAAAGTTAAACAAAGTGAGTCAGCACTGTTGTCATGTCTTTTAGCAACATGAAACAGCTCAATGATTCCTCTTTTGTGTTCATGATTTCACTTTCAGTAGTTGAAAGTCTGTTATTTATTTGAGCGTCTATTTTCCTGCTGTTAACATCTTGCTTTTGCAAAGCTTACATATTTGCCAGAACAAAAGCCCTAACCATGTAATGAGGCAGGTGCTCACATTTTATATTAATTGTAGAAATTTTATACCAAATGTTTTTGTAAAAAACTACCTGATGAAGTTAACCTGTGTAGTACATAGTTGTTCAGCTACATGGTGTCAGCTCTTGCAAATTTTCACTGCACCGTGCAGGCTATTTTTCTTCCTGGAGACAACGATATTGGTGGAGAAAGGAGGTCTGTGGGGAAGGCGGAGCTACAGCGCTTCAACTCTTACTTCCGCAATGACACCTTCTTGACCTACCGTGGCATTGACTTTATTAAGGTAAGCTTTTTCATTAAGCATGGCACATTTGCCTATTTGCCGCGAGGTCTTCAACGAAAGATGCGGTTTTTGTAAACCGAAAAATCGCGAAAAAGTCTACTTTTGGCAAACCACATATTTGGGCAGTATGTGTCATAAACTACTTTTTCTGTAAATATCGACGTCTAATTCATCGCGAAACTATTTAAATAAAGTTTACAACAAGCCTCCGCAGCCCTCAAGCGGCACGTGAGCACTCGAAATACCCAAACTTGACACGATCCCATTTTCTCGACCGCCCAACAGAGCGCCACAATTTTGCTCTTGTTTTGTTTGTGAATTCTCGCACTCTGTTTTCCCGCCACCCTCAGCGATGAAGGCAGCCCAGGAGAGGAGCAAGCTGCTCATGATTAGAAGGCTCACGAGAGCTTTGAAGTTTCCTGCGGCAGAGACTCGCCGCTGGGATTCGGCGATGCGTGCACTCCTAAAGGACGAGAGGAATCCCGCAACTGCCAATGGCTGCTGCGCACAATGGCTTAGTGCTCTTACGCATAATGTGGCCTCCCGTCATCTGCTGCTTCTCTGCCAACGGCGTTTTCTTTGTGTTCTACTTGTAATTGTCTATCATTGCAGCCATTTGCATAATCTCCGCACTTAAACCATTTTCAGGGGTGGAACAGTTGCATCAATTGCGTCAATTTGACACAATTTCTGATTGTTGTGCCGAGTTGTGCCAAAACTGTGAAATTTGCTGAAATTGCACCAGGCTGTGCCAAATTGCCCATCCAGTCTCAAAATTTTCTCAGGTGTGCTAATTTCGGCGAGAAATGCAGGCCACATCGGCCCCTTGCAGTTTTATACCATCCGTCAAAGCGCGCAGGCCCCAATTATAGTGCCTAGAATGTACTTAAAGAATGACCAGATAAAGTAAAAACGCTGCGAGCCAGTCGGTCTATTGACTGCAGCAGATACTTTGCGGCCGTACGACGAAACTTGAAGACGAAAATGCATTGCTGTAGCCACCAATGCTTCGCAATAAATGTAAATTTCTTAGCCTGAAAACGCGGCTATGAGGAACTAAAGCTGGAAGCGTATACCGCATTTTCCTCATGCAAACAAGCTTAAGGGGCTGCAAACACTAGCGTGGCCAGGGACCATGTCAGTTGCCTTAGCAGTGGCCCATAAAACTTTTTTTTTTTTGAAGTTGCATCGTCCAAGTCACAGTCCTGGCGATAGATATCCGGTACCATCTCCGGGCCAATGGGCGCACGTCATTGTCACTTTACCTGGCTGACCGCGCTTTGCAAGGGAGCCGAAGCAGCACCTAACCCTGCCTCCCCCCCTCCAGTTAAAGAAGAAAAAAGGTGGGAAGTGGAGGGAAGGTGTAGCAGTTAGAAAATTTCTTGGCTTTGGATCTAACCCGTGCAGAGAACGCTGCTTAAGCCACTGTCGCCGCAGTACACCGGTGCCCAGCGGAAAAGCGTATTGAGATTTGGAAGGGACTGTTAGCGCTATTCATGGAACAATGCACATTTTGCTAAGTTACTCATCCGTTTGTACGCCACCTAATTCTGAGTACTAGTATACTACTTGATGTCTAAATAAGTTACTGGTAATTATATGGAGCAGTATATAACATTTCTGCTTCCCTAAAGAAAAAACGAAATGAATTGTGCGCCAGCTTTTTTTTTTCACCACCCCTACTCCTTGGTTATGCGAATACCCAAATTTCAAGGTCGCGAGGTTGGCAGACTCATATTTAAATTTGCAGAGTCTGTCAAATGATTTGACGGGCACAGCAAATGCTAATATGGACTTCATCACTGTTTGCTCAGTGGGGTTGTTCAAAATACATTGAAATAGCAGTGCTCATGTTTACACTGCTTGATTTAGGGGATGTTGAATGATTTTTAACATATATTTTTAAATGCGATTGCATTTCTTAGTCGGGCTATGTCAGGCATCCATCCGGCGGCAGCGGACGTCGCGCACCGGCAGGTAATATATTTATTCTCCCACTTCTGCTCCCATAACAACAGCTGCGGGCGCGCGCTTATTTTCGCCTCTAGCAAGCGGAGCATGTGGTGCGAGAGGGTAGGTGAGTGCATTGCCGCTCCTTCTCTCACTGTTCGCTCTCTCTCTTCCCTGCGCCCCATTCTCCCGTCCACTCGTGCCTCACTCGACCGTTCGCTTGCTGGGCCCCGCTCAAGGCAAAGGCAGCAGTCGGTGAAGGCGAATGTCTGACGGCAACGGCAACGGTGCTCTCTCTCGGCCCAAGAAATGCATTCGTATTTCCTCACATTCCCTTCGGGGAGGTGGGGGCTTTTTTTTTTTTTGTTCAATATGTAAGCCTTATTATTTATACTGCACCAAATTAGGTATTTCATGATAAAAAAATGTACGATTTTTTTTTCTGTAACCTACTTCAAATTCAGATTTTAGTGCTCCAAAAATAACATTTTGATGCTCTGAAAATCACTACATATGGTATTTCAGCTGTTGCACCCCAGCGTTTTTACGAGACAATTTTCAACCGTCTTTATGAGACTGTTTTTGCTTTCTCCAGATGCGCCCAACCAAAAGAGGCGCGCTACAAGTGTTCAGTGCATGGAAGGTATCTATGAAGCTTGTTTGCATGGCGAGGCTCTTTGCTCTCACTTACTCCCACGGTGATTGCGCCGACAGTACCTGTGGGGAAGCTTCTGCGTCATCTACGCAAGAAAGTGGTTGCACCGGCCTAGCAGCGAGACTCCTGCTCCACTGGTACAAGAATTCGACGTTACAAGTGTGCCTGATGTGTCGTGCTCATCGACATTGGCTTTCACATCTCTTTATCGGCCTTGAAGAGTGCGATCGCGTCGTCAACTGTGCATTTGTGAACAAGTTTTCAGACGTGTGAAGAGAAAGATGGTGGATAAGCAACCCGCTGCTGTTCAAAGAGAACTTGGCGCTATGGCAGCGACGGAGTGGAATTTTCAGGCAATCGTGAAGCGATCATGAAACTGTCAAGGCTACAAGTGAAGGTGAAAATTTTCTTCTTGTGCAAATGAATCCCCTAGACGACCTGCTATCTTTAACCCTGTACCAGCAATGCCCCGCGACTGGGATGATGGTACGAGCAGGCATCCAACTTGCTACAAAAATGCATGTCAGGGTGACTTGAGGGCTTTTGATGTCAATGCTAGAGCAATTATGACAACAAAACAGATAGGCAAGGATTAATCAGCTCTCGACTTTTTGGCAGTGATAAACATGTCCCATCGTTGCTTCCATCTTAAGATTTTTCAGAAACACCTTTAGAAGTTCAGGGAACCGCAGACACAATGCTTAAAAAATTTATATGCCAAGTCTGCTTTCATGATGAAAGCCACTTTAAAGAAATAGAATAATCTTTCACCAGGGATATAAAAGTGTGTTATGAAGGAACATGGCACAAGTCTTGACACACATCCCATATACAGTAAACTTCTCAGTAAATGGAAATCTGTTTAACCAAACTGCTGTTTAAATGGAACAAATGCTTCTGACAAAATTGGTTTCATTCTTGCATTGCGTGCCCCTGTTCATCTCTCAGTAAACGGAACTCCTGTTAAATGGAACATATTCACTGGTCTCATCAAGTTCTGTTTAATGAGTCTAATGCAATTCAGGGTGCATACAGTTCCTTGAAATTCTTGAAAACCCTTAAATTAGACAAATACGTTTTCAAGGCCTTTGAAAGTCCTGTAATTTTTTCCCGTCCATGAAAGTTCTTGAATTTCTGTGCATACTCGTATCGACATTGCGGCGTCCTAAACATAGTGGATTGGCGTGTCAACCTTTCAAACTCTCCATTTGAAGAGCAGCTATGCAGTGTGGATGCACGTGGTTTCATTTTCGCAAAATGCACGTGAAAAAAAAAATAAAAAGTCAGTTTTGTGGCTAGGGTGAAGCAATGAAAGTGATAGCAACAGTGTTACACAAGCACCAACCAACTTTGTACATGCAGTGCTCCACTTAAGCCCGAAGGACGCTTGAAAATAACACGCACAGGATGATTCTAACGAACTTGCACCATGCTGCCTAATGACAAAGAAGGATGCTTGAAAAGAATGGGCAGGTAGGCACAGGATGAGTTCGAAGTAACAACTGTCACAGTCGTTACTTGTGCACAACCCAACGCTTTTAAATTTTTTTGTTCTTGAAAACTCCTGCGCATGGAGCATGGCCTATGAGATATTGTGGCAACTGGTTTCTCTCTGCTGTCCTAATCTTACGGAGACTCATGATTTCACAGGTTGTTATGACTAACTACTCTGCACCGCACCACTCGCCACCAAAGCATTATCGAAGCAACCGCCACGAGTTTGGTGCAGTTTCAGGCCACTAATATGATTTCAGGCTACTGTATAATGTTCCACTAACTTACGACTGGTGTTTGTGTGCTGCAATAATAAACGTGTTAGAAACCACACAAAAACATAATGTGCATTCAACACGCTGTGTGCACAGTGGTGTCAAAATGTCTTCTCAGTTCTGCAGCTACGGTTATCCTGCATAAGTGCGCAACACTTCACCTCCGGAAGTTAACTGCTGATACACTCAGATTAAGCTACATGAGCACATAAAAAAGAAACCGGGTCCAGCCCACGCTGAAGAGGGGCTCTAAATGAAAAAGTGACCGAACTTGTCACCCAGCAATAGACAGACATGCTTTCTTCCCCTATGTCGCCACTGCTGCCAGGTCTGAATCAGCCAGCAGACATGTTGCGAAGGCGAAATCTGTGCATGCATAGCCCTCCAGCCTCTGCAGCACAATGCTTTGCGCTTTTCTGATAGCTTCCTGTATTTCCCTTTCAAAGCAGAAAAAAAAAACACTCTAGCATGGTGCTGCATGCTTCCTTCGCGTGCGGCTGGTGCATCTGAAAAATGGCAATCCCGCCGCTACCGTTCTTTGCATATGATGTCAAGTTCATGCATCGTGTTTGTTAATCTTTGTATAAGTCAAATACCATTAAGCTGAATGTTTCGAATATGTTTGG